GCTCCCCAATGCTTTAGTAGCAGGCAAGGTCAGATATTATGCCACTGGTGTCGATTGTGCTGGGTCCACAAAATGCCCACAGCGGGGGCGCTCCCCGGCTCAGGGCCCCGCGCCTCCAGGGAGGCTGCGTACCTGTGAGCTGCTCCCGGCGGCCGTGGGCCTAGAGTTTTGAACACAGTGGGTCGTAATCCTGCCCTCATGGGGCTGCTAGAGTGGCCGTGTGCTTCCACCAACTCTTTATCTCCTACAGATAGGTTGAAATTTCTCATCTGCTGATGTTCTCCTAAATTGTCTTCAGGTTTCATTTTTTGCTAAGAGCTTTGTTTTATATGCATATGAAAAAAAAGTCACAGTTCCTCTGCAATGGAGGTAGCCACTGTGTTCTGAGATCTCCCAGGTCAGCTGCACATGGTGCTCTCAGATCAGTGCTGGGGTGGCCCACCTATGAACAGGAACCCTCCACAAAGCTGCTCTGACCGTGCTAACAGCAGACCTAAGGGCACCAGGGAATCCACTGCTTGGCACTGCTGGCTCACGGAATCCTTTTCCTGTTTCCAGTGCTGATGAACGATTTGATGCCACGTTCCACACCAACGTGTTAGTGAATTCTTCTGGACATTGCCAGTACCTCCCTCCAGGTAAGATCCATTTCCTTTGTCCTCCTACGTTAGGCAGTTTAAGCTAGGTTGGGGTACCAGTCTGGACAGTGCTCACATGAGCAGTGGGCTAGCTCTGTGCTCGGGGCATCCTTTGCCTCTGTTCACACCCACTCCCTCCTGCTTTCCATTCTCTGCTTGCACATATTTCCTGAACATGACAATGACATCTTCCTTCTTTTTGTCTTGGGATCATGGCTCAAGCTGTCTTTGTCAGCATGTGTCATTTGTTCTTATTTTCTGCCAACTAAAGCAAATCTCCCTTGTCAGGTAATTTCTTGCTCTCCTTACAACTTGCAAGCCAAACCCCCAGGCCATTTATGCCTCCGTTTCAGTGCACCATTTTCCTTCCACCAGGCTGGATATTTTAGCAGGTGCTGCTCTCGCGGTGTTGGGGGTGAGATGGTGAACTTGCTGAGCTGGCTTTTTGAATTCATGCATTAAAGAGCATGGCATGTTAGACACAAGATCTAGTGGTTTCAAAGGAGGGTTCATTAGTCACTTATTCCTGAATGAGCTTCTCTCCTCTTTCTAAACCAGTTGATGGTTAACTGCTTCCTAGGATTGATTCTTTTCCCACCAGCCCATCATTTCTATGGACTCACAGGGCCCCAGGCTGCTCAGGGGGTAGTCCACACTCGGGAAACATGGGCTTTATGGCCTTGAGGCATATGGATATTAACAGGTTTTTAAAAAGCTTTTAGATGACTTGATACATGTTCTTTTCCAGGATTATCTCCCCCACTGCAACTGTTTGGCTTAACTGCCTGCTCCCAGGCAATCTGCAACCACACCCACCTTGTCACCAACACACACACCACATGCACAGCGTACACCACACACACTCCACACATGCACACACCACACACACATCTCTCTCGCCAGCAGTCAGCCCAGTCTCATGCCTTCTGATTCCTCTCACAGCACACAGGAAAGCTGGCTTTGCCTTCTGGGTTATTGTTTACATGCTCATCCTCATTAGCAAGTGATGAGCGTCCCACGGACAGAATCTGTGTTTACTCACCTTAGAACCACCACTGATCAACCAGGTGCCTGGCCCACGCGTTAATGAACGAATGAATGAATGAATGAGTCAGTCATTGAACCTGTCAAGGCAGATACCTCCCAATAATGTTTGTATAGATTGAAGAACTCCAGGTTTTCTATCTTAAAGCATGTCTTTCCTTGCTACTTTTCCAGCCCTTTCTCCCCTCTCCAGGCCAAGCATGCTTCTTCCCAACAGCAGGCCCCTTCAGACTGGGGCTGTGGAATGTGTAGTCCATCACAGGTACATTCTTTTTCACCAGGCCTGTAAGTTGCAGCTTCTGTTATGAATGCAAATGACCTCCAGTAGTCATCAGTGTAGAAGAATATGTTGCTGCAGATTGTTTTGAAGGCTGACGCTATTTTCAGCTACAGGAGCAGTACTCCTGACCCCCGAGCTGCCTATGTGCAGCAGTCCCCTCTGGGGTTCTGTCCCTGCCTCCCGGTCTCCGTGGCGCTGGGAGCCTGGTCGGGACAGGACACATTGTGCTGTGACTGTGGGAGTTTCCCCTACATTGGCAGCAGCAGCGTGCTGTCTGGCTTGGGGTAGTGTAGAACTGATCTGGGATCCTTGTTCTGCCCGTGCAACTAAGCACAGGCAAAAAGAATGTTTTAGGTGCAAGCTTTGAAATAGAGACTTGATTATGAAGTGACTTTTTTTCCATTTCATATTTTTATTTTTAATAGCTTTATTGAGATATAATTTACATGTCATACAAGTCACCCATTTTAACTGCATGATTCAGTGATTTTTAGTAAATTCATAGAGTTGTGCCACCATTACCACAACCTAGTTTTAGAACATTTTCCTCATCCTGGAAAAATCCTTTTTACCTCTCTCCAGTTAATCTCCACCCTCACTGCCAGCCCCAGGCAACCACTGATTTGCTTTCCATCTCTAGAGATTCTCTTTCTCTGGTCATTTGATGGAAATGGAATAATACAGTTATGGAGTTAGATTTTCTACAAGCAATGTGGGTTTTGGGGGACCCAGACCATTGACAGGAGGGTAGTGTCTATAATGACTTCCAGATTCCTATGAACACTGGATATAATGCTTCAAATCATATTTAAGGAACTTGAGGGGATAGGAAGTTTATTATCCTTTCCCAACTTGGCTGTGGGGAGGAGGGGCTGTGTTTGCAAGGCTGCTGAGTCCCTTTCTTTGTTCATTCTTTCTTTAATTCCATAGCAGAAATTCACAGAGCACCTGCCCAGTCCCCACAAGCACTGGGACCGTTAGCTATTTGTGCCTACCACTGCCTTCCAGTCTTTCTCTGGGCAGGGAGGAGCACATGGGCATACATAGCTGGAGTGGGCTTATCTGGTCCCCTCTCGGTGACCTGCAGGATATTCACTTCCAACTTGTCCTAGCCTGGAGTTGCTTTTTCAGTGGAAACTCTTCCTTGTGTCCAAGCACTATCCAGCTCTTCAACTTAAACCCGTCAGTCCTTGTTTTAGTCTAGAATTCAGGCTAGTTAAAATTATCCTCCACATGTATTTCTGGATAACCAAGTGTTTTCTCAGTTGTAACCTAGGAAAATGCCCACCCTGTTCCCCACCCAACACACATACACACACACACGCACATGCACGCACACACTTTTCAGATTCTGTTTCTAAGCCCTCCATTATTTTTGTCAACTCTCTGAGATGTTTTTTTTACATTCTTTACTTTTCTCTTATTATTTAGAATGTGAAGATGCACATGCCTGGTAAGAGCAAGTTTACAGAACTCTGATTCTTTGCACAGAAATCCCTCAGAACAGTCTGCAACAGAGCATGTGGGTGTTGTCTTTGAATTTTAAAAGACAATGAAGCTTCAGCTAAGCTTCTTTTTAGAGATTTTTCCAAAAAGACCCAGCTTGTTCTAGACAGGTCTAGCTACAGTTTGGAGGGGCAGGACGGGCTGAAGTCCTCTGTGGTCACACACCCAGTCCAGAGGACCTTGTGCGCACATCGCCTTCTCTAGAAGGGAATATGAGTGGGCCAGAAAGATGTGTGCACAAAGCACCGAGTGAAAATACATGCAGAACATCATAAATAATGTATTATTTAACTGGCCAATCCTTTATCAGGCTAGTAAGCTTTTTACTTCACGAAGATTAGGCATTGCATGTTATGAACAGCCTTTGAGGATAGAGACCAAGGGACTGCCATGTATTTATTTGTTTAAAAAATTATTTTCCAGCTCTATTGAGGTATAGTTGACAAAATTATAATATTCTTAAAGTGTATTACATGAAGATTTAATATACATATACATTGTGAAATGATTTCCACAATCAGGTTAACTAAAACACCCATCACCTCACATAGTTACATTTTTTGTGTGTAGTGACCGCTCTACTCTTGGGCAAATTTCAAGTATACAATATTATTAACTATAGTCACCATGCTGCACATTAGATCCTCAAAACTTATCTCTCTTATAACTGAAAGTTTATACCTTTTTACCATCCTCTCTCCATTTCCCCCATGCCCAAGCCCCTGTCAACCACCATTCTGTTCTTTGTTTCTATGAGTTCGACTTTTTTTTTTCCTTCAGATTCTATGTACAAGTACTTCCATACAGTATTTGTCTTTCTGTGTCTGGCCTAGTTCACTTAGCAAAATGCCCTCCAGCTTCATCCACGTTGTTGCAAATGGCAGAGTTTCTTTATTTTTTAAGGCTTACTAATATTCCATTGTATGTTTATGCATATGTATATACATATATGTATATATAAATGTGATTGTTATGTATATTTTTATTTATCCATTCATCCATTGATGAACACTTAGGTTGTTTCCCTATCTTGGTTATTATAAATAATGCTGCAATGAACATGGGAGTGCAGACAACTCTTTAGATAGTGATTTCATTTCCTTTGGCTGTATACCCAGAAGTGGGATCAGTGGATCAGATGGTAGTTCTATTTTTAATTTTTTGAGGAACCTCCATACTGTTTCCATAATGGCTGCACCAATTCACATTCCCACCAACAGTGTGAGACTGCTGTGTATTGAAAGCACATCTCAGTCAGCTTGCATTTCGGTCTTCTGTTTCCATTGCCCATGTAGGCATATTCAAGAGCTCCTGCCATATTGACGTGCGCTGGTTCCCCTTTGATGTGCAGCACTGCAAACTGAAATTTGGGTCCTGGTCTTATGGAGGGTGGTCCTTGGATCTACAGATGCAGGAGGCAGATATCAGCGGCTATATCCCAAATGGAGAATGGGACCTTGTGGGTAAGCCCAGCAAAGACGTGAGACTAGCAGCCTAGAAGAAAGCTGCTTTATTCCTGTGCTAGCTTAAAAAGTCTGGGATTTTCCATTCTCATTTTCAGTGTGAGCATTTATTAGACCCTGCAGCATTCTCCATAATTTACTGAGAGCTATAGGATGAGAAACAAAAAACAATTAGAAAATTCGATGCTTTCCCTGAGGAACTTGCAGTTATGGTAAGGACACATTTAAACACAAGTCAGTGCTAGTAAAGGCATCCCTACGTTATTCGAATCTGCTCCATTCCTAAAATCAGGGTGGTCAGCACATTGCAGGTGATGGGAACCTATCTGTATTTGGTGATTTTAAATAGAAAAACAATTGATAATTGTGTAAAGTTTACAATGTATTATTTATAATCATGGTGTCTTAGTCCATTCAGGCTGCTGGAACAGAATACCATAGGCTGGGTGGCTTAACAACAGACATTTATTTCTCACGGTGCTGGAGACTGGAAAGTCCAAGATCAAGGTGCCGGCAGATTAGGTATCTGGTGAGGGCTCACTTCCTGGTTCATAGATGGCTGTCTTCTGGCTGTGTTCTCACATGGCAGAGGGGACTAGGGAGCTCTCTGGGGCCTCTTGTATAAGGGCACTAATCCCATTCATGAGGGCTCCCCCTCATGACCTAAGCACCTCCGAAAGGCCCCACCGCCTAATACTATCACTTTGGGTGATAGGATTTCAACATATGAATTTTGAGGGGGACACATGCAGTCTACAGCACATGTAATTCCAATCCATCAAAAAATATCTGCCAATTTGTTCAAATATTACTAACGTACTCTAAAATAACTCTATAATAAACCAGAAAGTGCTTATTCAGACAATGATTACTCAGTTTTTTAGCACTTAACAAACTCCATGGCTATGTTCATGTGTTATATCCATTAAAATAAACAAACAGGGTAATTTTATTCAAACAATGACCTCCTTTTCTCCCCCTCCCCATGGAGGAGTCCTGGGCAAGCGGAGTGAGAAGTTCTATGAGTGCTGCAAAGAGCCATACCCGGACGTCACCTTCACGGTGACCATCCGCCGCAGGACCCTCTACTACGGCCTCAACCTGCTCATCCCCTGTGTGCTCATCTCAGCCCTGGCCCTCCTCGTCTTCTTGCTCCCTGCAGACTCTGGGGAGAAAATCTCCCTTGGTAAGTGCCTGGATCTTTTGTGGGAGTCTGAGATGGGACGGGAGGGTCCTGCCTTGAGGTCAGCTCTGTAGGTCTCACTGTGAACAGCGCAGGGGCACGTCAGGGCTCCGGGTACGGAGATGTGCAGGGCCTGCTTGGTGCATCACACACTGGCCTCCTAGCCAAGGGCATCTCCCTGACACCACAGGCTTCTGATTTAGGCTCTGCTGGATGGCCGTGCCCTCCTGAGATACCATAGGATCCTCTGATCCCACACGGAGGATGGGAACGTCCAGGAAGGGACCGGTTCTCCCCTGGGGGCCTATGCTTTCTCCCTTCCTGCGACCCACCCTGTTCCTTGATGGCAACCAGCCAGCATCTGTTGTGGACAAGAAACAGTGTATTTAGTTTAGTATCAGCTTGCATTTGTATGTTGCCTCACACAGCGTAATTCCTTCTGATCGTCCAATAGGAAGATAAGAAAACTCAGATTTAGAATGGGGAAATGAGTTTCTTAGCATCTCAGAGTTACTAGCGATGATATTTAATACATGAAGAAATCATTCTCAAACACCTGTCTTCTGACTCTGAGGCTCAGGCACATTAAATGACTTATCCAAGGTCACACAGTTGGTAAGGAGCAAAGTCAAGACCGGATACCAGGCCTTCAGACTGCGTGTTTTCTTTTTCCCGCTACATGAAACTACCTCTCAATACTAATGTAATAAAGAAAATGAGAGATACTTGTGCGAAGTTCAATAATTCATTTTGTATTGTTCTTCTAAAGTTCTGGCTCCTAAACTTGTCTCCACCAGGGACTCCTCTGGGACTCTGATACATGACCTGGACTGTCCCCAGAAAAGTGCCCATGCCTATATGTGCAGAAAACCATGCTTTTGGTTTGAGGAAATCCACAGACCCCTCCCCCAACACCTCCCTAGTTCTTTGGATCTCAGGTTAGGAACCCAGTTGATGGACTTTAGGCCTCACCGTCTCTTCTGTCTCAGGCACCGCTGTGTGTTTGTGTTTCAGGAATAACAGTTTTACTCTCTCTTACTGTCTTCATGCTGCTGGTGGCTGAGATCATGCCTGCAACGTCCGACTCAGTGCCCTTGATAGGTAAGGCAAGAGTCAGGCTCCTCTCAAAGACATAGGCTTAGAGAGTGCCCAGGACTTCCTAGCACAGGGACGGAGCAGAAGCGTGTCCTCCAGGGCCCTGGAGAGCTGCACAGCCCCATTTTCTGCCATGAGGACATGACTTGCTTTAACTATTCAGAGTGACCCATGGCCTCTGCTCACCTGGGCACAGGTAAGGAGAACGAGGAGTCCAGCTTTGTGGTTTGTCTGTAAGGTGCAGAAATGCCCCCTTCCTCCCATAATTTTCCCCCTCACGCATGTTATGGGATCAGACATTTTACCACTAGAGATTCGTTACTTTAGCTTGTCATTGTTTTTCCACAAATCCTTTGCTAAAATGGGAGGAGCACACACTTTAACTCTCAGCCATTGTTTTCTGAGATAACTCGATGTCTCTGTATAAAGTTAAAGCATGTGAGGAGATGTGAAGAGGGCAAATATGTTTTGGCCAGATGTAAGGCATGACCGTCTGCCCAGGGAGGGACGACAGAAACGGGACAGCATCACTTGTTGGCGTGTGCTGCCCTGGATTGGAATAAGTAGGAGCATGCGGAGGGGTGCTCAGTGGTCTAGAAGTTAGGATCCATACTCTTACCACTGCAGCCAGGGTTCTGTTCCCGATCAGGGACCAGAGCTCCAAGCCAGTTGTGAGGACTGGAAGCAGACAGTCTGCCAGTGGGTATAGGTTTAATATGAGCGTCCCCACTCCCATTTGGTGGTGAAGGTCAGCCACAGGAATGCTGGAGTATATTACTCCTGTTGACCCATGCCACCTGAAGGCCGTCCTGTGTAGTTAACTAGGGACAGGCAGGAATGACGGAGCCTTACATGGAGACCCTCAGGCTTCACAAACTAGGAACCCAAGGCCCTTCATGTGCGTGGAACTCCCTGTATGTTACTACTTTGGCCAGAGGGACTGTTGGTATGAAAAGCCTTTGTAGGTGTCATATTTCTCTTACTACCATCCAGAGAGTGAGGAAGCACCTTTCAACTTGCCAGTCTGACCCGTTCTTTCTACCTTCCAACACATTTCTTCCAACAGAGACTGGCAGCAGAAAGCACCACTAATGGTGCAGTCAGCTGGCCCTGCTTTGACTGGGGAACCCACTGGGAAAGGCGAGGTTGATGCATAGCCCACGTCTAGAAGGATGGGATGCTGTTGGCCTCTGCCTGTGTTGTTGAGCTTTCAGCTGTGGTGTCCGTTCACACTGGATCCCTCCATAGGTCATTGCATTAGTCTGCTAGGGCTGCCGTAATAAAATTCCACACACTGGGTGGCTTACAGAACAGAAATTTCTTTGTTCACAGTTCTGGAAGCTAGAAGTCCAAGATCAAGGTGTCAGCAGGTTTGGTTTCTCCTGAGGCCTCTCTCCTTGGCTTGCAGATGGGAACCCTCTTGCTGTGTCCTCACATGGTGTCTCTTCTCTTTGTGCATCCCTGGTGTCTCTTTGGGTATCCAAATTTCCTCTTCTTATAAGGACACCAGTCAGACTAGATCAGGTCCCACTCAACCTCATTTTAAGTTAATCAGCTCTTTAAAGGCCCATTTCCAATACAGTCACATTCTGAGGTCCTGGGGTTAGAGCTTCAACATAAATTTTAGGGGGACACAATTCAGCCATAGCAGTCACCATTTGGTTCCCTCCCTTCCCCTTCTCGGGGATGCTAACTTTAAGTCTCAAATATCCACCTCTGGTAGCTCCTTGCAGGTATCTCCTGGTCTCCGTGGGAGAGCAGTGAGTTCCTGCCTGCCTGGAGAGCAGGAGGTGTTCTTAACCAGGTGTGTGGCCGTACACTTAGCCTCTGTACCAGGATGCTTTCTGCTTAGAGCTCAGACTCCTTGGGCAGACAGCCACACTGAGGATTTAATAGTCAGAGTTGCCAATTAAGGAGCGCCTCCCCCATGCCAGGCTTTCTCCTAGACCCTTGGCCCATATAATTGCTAATTCCTGCATCAACCCTGCAAAGAAGGCATTTCCATCCCTTTTGTTCTGGTGAAGAACCTGAGGCCTAGAGAGGCAGAGCAGCCTGTCCAAACTCAGAGATGGCAGCCAGTGGACCCGGGGTCGGGGAGCTCTTTCAGATGTTCCCTGCTGCTCCTCACTGGGGCCAAGGTAGAGAAACACATCTTTGCCCATCAGAGCTGAAGCTGATGTTCTCGGTCTGAAAGGTCACTGCTGCTGACCTCTTCCTCAGGCTGGACAACTAGGTGTTTCTCAATAAATGGGGCCAGATTCCTTTTCCACGCTGATACCCTAAGAGTCCAGGCCTGATAAGACAGCCAGGTGATGTCCAGGTTTGCCCGTGTTACGTCCCCAGAGCACATCTGTGGCCTGCAGTCATCAGCATGGTGACCATATCTTCACATCCAGTTGTTTTCAGTTCCGGTAACCATCCATGTGCTTTCTCGTTGGAACAACCTTATCACTATCCTGTGAGGTCTGTTAACTCTCACGGAAGGAGGAGGCAGACAGAGTTCACAAAAGTGAAGTCAGCTAGGCAACGGTACTCGCCAGGATGAGATAGGAAGGGAAATCTCTGTGCTCTAGGCTGGCCCCAGCCTGTTGGTCTGTGGGTGGGGGACTACAGGCCAGAGGCAGCCCTGCTCTGCTCTCAGGCTTTGCCACCCAGTCTCTGACCGCCAGAGAACATGGTCCGCCCAGCCCTGTGATGTTTGTGCCATGGAGGCCCTGGGTCTCACCCTGTGTCTGCTCTCTCTGCAGCCCAGTACTTCGCCAGCACAATGATCATCGTTGGCCTCTCGGTGGTTGTCACAGTGATTGTGCTGCAGTACCACCACCACGACCCCGACGGTGGCAAGATGCCCAAGTGGGTGCGTTCCTCCCACGTACCCCAAAGGAGGCTCCGCGGATGATTTATCTGTTTCAAAAATCCCCAAAAACAGCTAGCATTCCTAAACAAAGAGCTGTATTTCTTTGTGACTTCACCTAGCTAAATCTCTCTGCATAGAAGACAGGCGGTGAGCATACTCTTACGGTCCTGTGGACTGTGCTTACAATCTCACATTCCAGAGCGGGACTCACGTGCTGACTGCTCGTATATTTCGCTAGCACGGTGTTTTTGAAACCACTTTGTGCATGTACACTATGGAGAACTGTGCAGCTGTTGGAAGCAACAGACAAGATAAACACACAGCCACATGGTTGGATCTTCCAAACAGAATGAGGGGTGAAAAGAGTAAGACGTAGAGTGAGCTATGTAAGACTATATACATTCAGTACACATAGGAATGGAATTTAACCAAAACTTATAAAACTAAGTTTAGTAGTTAGCAGTGGGGAAGAGGGATGGGATGAAAGAAAATGGATGAAAAATGAACGATTGACTATAATAGCCTGTCATCTTAGCCCAGGCCACACCTGCCTGGCACCTTGCATTGTGATTTCTGCTGATGCTTACCCACCCGCTCCTTCAGAGTCCTTCAGAGTCCAGGGTCTGAAGCTCTACACCCACCCTCGCCTGACACTCAGGAAACCTTGATTAGGGCGGAGCAGGGCCTGGGCTTTCCCCACCTCACCGTGGGGGGAGAGGGCTGCCCCCACCCTACTTCTTACTTGAGCCTTGCAGACCTTCTTGTCTTCCTGTCCGGAGCATGTGGCCTAAGGACCATTGGGAGCTAAAGAAGCCCTCTCATGCCAAAATGCTCCTGTCTTTGGAGACCCATAATCTTGCATCCAAGTTCAGAAGGGCTCTAGAACTCACCAGCATGCTAAATGCAGCTGCAGGACGTAAGATGCGTTTCGTCAACCTCCAGGAACAGGGGAGTTCCTGGGCCTTCTAAAAATATTCATTGTGCGATAATTTAGTGACCCAGGAGTTACCTTAGGAAAGCCTGCATTTTAAAAAAAAAATGGCTTTACAAAGTTACTGTGTCCCCTTGGGTTCTTTTCCACGGCAAGTTCTTACACTTAATAAGGACCCTTTCTCATAGCTCATTGCATCAGCAGTGGAGTAAGCTCCTGGAAATGGTGCCGCCTCCCACAGGTCACATCTCTACAGTCCGTGGGCTTGTTTTGAGAAGCCCCCCCACCCCTGCTTAACAGTTGGGACACATTTTCACACGGTCACCTACGTTGTCATCTGATTTTATAATAACCCTAATCCACTTTCTGTCCATCAGTGTGTTTGAAGTAGGTAAGACATTTACATGTTTCAAAAGTCAAAATAAAAGTATAGTTATACATAAGGAAATCCTGCTCCCATTCCTGCCCCTCGCCCTGCTTCCACCACCAATATTGATAACCATTTTAATTAGTTCCCACTTTTTCCTTCTAGTGTTTATTTATGCAAATGCAAAAATATCAACACATCTTCTTTCTAATGTTTTGATTGACATAAAGATAAAAGAGTTAAGACATGAAGACCCAAAACCATTTTTAATGACCTGGTAGCATTTTACTGTTCCAGAAAAATCTTAATTAAGAGCTTATGCTAATTATTCAGCTCTCAGCACAAGAGCATGTTACAACCAATGGCTGCAAATGAAGTATCAAGCTCGTATGTTTCTCTCTCTCATTTTATCTAGCACACTGCATTTTTCTTTCTTTCTATGTGTATTTGAAGCATAAACAGCCTTCAAGGGACTTTTATTATGATCTGTTGCTATGAAGAAGATACTGCTGGGTGCAGTGGCATTATGTGACATTTGCACAGCCAGAAACAAAACTATAACCTAGCAGAAGAGGTCACAAACACAGTTTGATAAGTGCCAAGAGGATAATTTCATCTTTTGAGATGCTTCAGCCTTGAAAGCTAATGATTCAGGCCATGGGATTCAAAATAGACTTAGCTTGAGATGTGCCCCAGGGGCTGCGCAGACCCGCACGTGGCAGGAGAAGCACCGGGCACCTCTGCTCAGCTCTCTGTGTGCACGGCTGCCTCTGGGTTTGGACACACTCACTGCCCAGTGTGCTCCCTTGAGCACTGGCCCAGGCTTTCAGGTGCCTTCCAAGTCGTGGTTGGGCTAAAGTCACTGGAGGCTTGAAGGGAACCTAGTGGACCCTTTTCCAGATGAGGCTGAAGAAGTCTAAACATGTTAGGTGACTTGCTCACTAAGTGACACTGAGCCAATTTATTGGCCTCTTTGAGCTTCATTTTCTTTATCTGTAAAATGGGGGAATTATACTCGTTTCACAGAGCCCTGAGAGGCCCAAGTGAGATGGCATGTCTCATGAGCCATGTGTGGAGGGCCGAACTCACCCAAGGATTCACATGGGGCTCCTTAGTGATCATGGAAAACCCTCCAGGGTCTGCAGCCAGGCTTTCCAGGCTCTGGAGGTTTGCCTGTGGGATGTGGGCAGGGTATGTAGAGTGCCACCTTGCAGGAACAAAGGGCCATCTTTACAGCTGCAGTGAAATGCCTTCTTTTTCTTTTCGTTGCCTGTCTCCAGACTGGTCTGCCACAGTTATCTCTGATAAAATGTCATAAAAATGATTACCAAGAAAGTGTTGCAGACATGAACTTCACAATACTGCCTGCACTTACAGATGGGAATCATGCCTGCTATGCTGCTGGTGGAATTTGCCTACCATCACAAACCAAAATTAAAATGAAATCAGTATCTGGATAATTTCAGAGAAAGGGCCCGCTTTTCACATACTTGTCTAAATAGGCTTGCAAGTATGCTTTTTTTAACTGGAATTGAGGCCTCAGATGGCTCGCTTCTTTCCATTAGAGGCAAAAAACAAGAAAGTGATTTCTCTCCAGCATCTTCTACGCATGTAGGTAACATGTTTATAAAACACTTTAGATCAGAGGCCGGTAAACTATGGCCCTGCAGGTCAAATCCAGCCTACCACGTGCTTTTGCAAATAAAATTTTATTAGAAAATGGCCATGCCTGCTCCTTTACATGCTGTCTTTGGCTGATTTTGTACCATATCAGCAGAGCTGAGTAGTTGCAACAGAGACCTCTGGCCTGCAAAGCTAAAATATTTACTGTCTGGTCCTTTACAGAAAGTCTGCCAACCCCTGCTTCAGACTTTTCAAAGTACTTTCCCACAAACCGTCTCATTCAGTCTTCACTGCAGCCTAATGAGTTAGGTTAGAGGTTCCTAAACTTCTTTGGTTCATGTCACCTTTAGTGTCTCAGAGTTTTTTTCACAGAGCCCCTAAGGCAAAAGAAATACCTAACGGTTCTGGTTATTAAATAGGTCAAATCAACTTACTAAGTATTTATTCCTTGACAACTTAGCCCAACACAGCCTCTCAAATCTTCGGAGCACAGTACCCTCATTTTCTATTCCATGTTAACTTTCTTGGCTCTTGCTTTTTATCAGGACAACTTCAAAAACCTGCTTTGCAATGATATGACATCATTGCAAGGGATGGAGCATCTAATGTTGCAGTCTGAACCCCTTCAAGCTAGGTGTTCACGCAGTGTCTGACAAATGTCACCAGGTTGCCCTTGAAGAGTTAAAATCTTTCGGGCTCCCCTGTGAGTTTGCTGTGGCACACTGGGGTACCTCACAGGGAGTTGGGTATGATGGTTCCTGGTTACAGATGAGGAAGGATCAGAGAGGGAAAGTGACTTGCCCTGTTCACACAGCTCAGGGCTCTCTTTCCAAGACAGCCCTCTCCTCTCACGTGGCTGTCTTCCCTGAGATTGCAGTGTGCCTGCCAGGGAGAGAAATTCAACTGCTTCCCAGGGTAATTTTCTGCACTGATTTTATTCTTGCCTCACATTTGACTCCATGGTTGTAATGCATTGGTATTGCTTGCCTGTGTAAACTCACTTGGGACGGCGTGGGGGCCTGTCACCCCCAGGATCCAAGAAGTAGGGCTGGTAGCATAGGATCATCTTGCTATTGGGATCCACTGATGCACGCTTCCCAGCCGCTCCTAACACTCTGTTGTCTCCCCAGACCAGAGTCATCCTTTTGAACTGGTGCGCGTGGTTCCTGCGCATGAAGAGGCCGGGGGAGGACAAGGTGCGCCCGGCCTGCCAGCACAAGCAGCGCCGCTGCAGCCTGGCCAGCGTGGAGATGAGCGCGGTGGCGGGGCCGCCGGCCGCCAATGGAAACCTGCTCTACATCGGCTTCCGGGGGCTGGACGGCATGCACTGCGCCCCCACCCCCGACTCGGGGGTCGTGTGCGGCCGCATGGCCTGCTCTCCCACACATGACGAGCACCTGCTGCACGGCGGACAGCCCTCCGAGGGGGACCCAGACCTGGCCAAGATCCTGGAGGAGATCCGCTACATCGCCAACCGCTTCCGCTGCCAGGACGAGAGCGAGGTCATCTGCAGCGAGTGGAAGTTCGCGGCCTGTGTGGTGGACCGCCTGTGCCTCATGGCTTTCTCCGTCTTCACCATCATCTGCACCATCGGCATCCTGATGTCGGCTCCAAACTTTGTCGAGGCTGTGTCCAAAGACTTCGCTTAACTTGGTTCTGGTTCCCAGCGTGTAGGAAATGCAAAGATAGGCGATGTTGTTGGCTTGGAGAGAATTTGGGGTGCTAATCCTACAGCAGCATTAAACGTGAGGATGCCTATGTACTCTTAGCACTGTCAGTGATATCGGTTACAGTTTCCTTGTTACTTTCTGTAATAGGATCTCAGCACGTTTTTGTTTAATCTTCTCAGATGAGCTACTTGATATCCTTGGGACATCCTTGAGGGCAGCGGAACCACTGAGAGGTCATTTTTCCCTTTCCCCACTGCCTGGTGAGCTCTTCAGAGAGGTCCGGGTAGCGCAGGACTGCCAGGGGAGGCCTGTACAGCTGGTTTGCTTGCCTGCATGTCACTTGCCATGAAGGCCTACATGAAAATGCAACATATGCTTTTGCCTGTGTACAAACCTAGATTGAAACTAATAATAATAATAAACAAAACTCACTAAATCCATTCAAATAATTGACTAGTGAAAGGAAACTAAACTAAATTAAAACTAAAAACCTAACTGCTGGTTTTCCTTTAATTCAGTTTTGATATTTCTCTACCAAAGATGGTAGAAAGCAATAGTTTTATGCTATTTCTACATTAAAAAAAAAAAAAAAAAGCAAAGAGATATAGTTGGTCTTGTAAATTATGCTTTTACCTGCCTGATTTCTGCCAAACTACTCTGTGCGGGGAATCAGGAGGGACACAGGTGTGTGTCAGTTCTGAACTAGGACCAGACCCAGTAAAGTTGGAGATTTCTGTAGATCCCAGGTGACTCTCAAGCTTTCTGCTGCCCCCAGACACTGCGGAGTTGAGTGAGTCTGCTCTATTCTGCAAAACCTGAACAACAAATAGAGTTCTGTTAGAATTGCCAACTCAATGTAGTAGATAAAACTAAATTAAACCATCTATGTGTTTTAAAACAAAAATGCATTAGATGCTTCACATGTACTGGAGTTGATTAGTGTTAGAAATTCGTGGATCCAAACAAATGCATACATAAAGTGAAAGTTTTCTATGCTTTTTCTCCATGTGTCAGGGCCAGGGGACAGGGTCTGGGACCTCTTCTGGTTCCGGTTCCGTATGTGGCAGGAACCGGGGAGGGGATGGTGTGGCTGATGGCTTTCCTGGATGACAAGCCAGTGGCGGTCAGCGAAGGGGCTGGCAGGCTAACCGTGGCTGCACAGCCAGTAGCTCCAGTTTCTGGCTTTTGGGAATCTGCTTCTCCACAGCTCGTCCACCGCAGCTTCAGCCCAGAAATCCGGCTGAATGGGTGGATTCACTGGAGGTGTGTTTTGAAAGCAAGGGAAACTTTAATTTTAAACCTAAATGGTGACACAGTTTTCCAGTTAGATTATCTAGCTGACAGTAGTCACTTTGCCTCTTCCCATTCTTCTTATTTTTTAATGAGATCAGAGGGAGACACAAGAAAATCTCTTCTCTTGTTTCATCCAGTAACTGCTCAGAGCTCAAAACTATAGAAGGCTTTGAGCTCCTGGGATTCTTTAATTTCCTTCTAACCCCTGAGATGGGTACATCATGAGGGAGGATTAGATTTTCAGAGCAAAACAAATTGCATGCATTTCTCCAGTCATTTATTTCACTCATTTCTAGGTAATGCACATGGATTTGTTTGCACTGAGGAAGATGGAGGCTTGCGCATGCCCTGTGTGTGTATATGTGAGCGCCTGTGGACACCTTGTTTATGACAAGAAGCTTGATAAATAAGGGCATTCCAGCATCACACCATTTGGATCAGAGTGGTCCTCAGAGTTCACCCATTCTACATGGGATGGATGAATTAAATGCACAATATTATCTTTTCTTTTTGTTTTTTTTCTATTAATGTGTCTTTAGAAACAAGTGGAGTGTTTTGATATATAAAGAGAAAGCTTAATTTCCTATTGCTATCCAAAAATTGATCCCTACTGCATTTTTGCTTCAAAAAAACCAAACTGTTTTGGTTTTGTATTTTATACAGAAAAACATAAAAACAGCAAAAGTTTTTGACCACCCAAATAACTACTCTGCCATTTTAAAAAGTAAAAATAAGGAAGAGATACACACACACATAGAAAAGTGTGAATGGCTAAAATAAAGGCCTCCCACGCTGTTTTCTCGCCTCACAGGGACCACCAATGGGCTTCTGGGGAAAGGAAGAAAGGAAGGGAGGAAGGCCTGAAGAGGGAGGAAAGGGGCATGGAGAGACATTCCTCTTCTAGCACTCATGCTATGCTCGGAGCTCTACACCTTGCTTTCTTCGCTGAGTGTTTTATCTCAGAGATCTTTCCATACCAACACATAAAGATCTACCTCATTCTTCTTAATAGCTGCTTAGTGTTCCATTGTTTTGGTGGACTATAATTTCTTAGATTAGTCTTTTATTAGTGAACATGTAGAATATTTCCAGTTTTTATTTTTATACACAAATCTATGATTAGCATCCTTGTACTTATATCTTAGCATACTTTTGTGACTATATCTTGGTGTAAATTCCAACTTGGAAATGGAATTGCTGGATTTAAGGCTATGTACATTTAACGTTTTGGTAGATAGTACCAGATTATCCTCCAAAAACTGATCAGTGAATACACCTACCAAGAGTATAATGAAAGGGCCAATTTCTCAGCACTGGGTATTATCAAAATTTAATTTTTTTCCACTATGCTTGGTGAAAAATGATATTGCAATATTCTAATTTATTTTATTATGAGTGAAGTTGAACATCTTTTAAAATGTTTTTTGGTAATTTCAATTTTTGTAAATTGACGTCCTTTCCACAATTTTCAGTTGGGTTCTTCGGCTTTTTCTTAATTTGTGCACTTTGGAACCTTTCTGTCTATGTCTTGAAAATATTTTTATTTGTTTATTGTTTGTCTTTTGATGTTATTTATTGATTTGTTTATTGCCATATAGAAAGTTTAAAGTTTTATGTTGTCAATTTATCCATATTTTCCTTTGTAGATCGTGGGATTTGTTTCCAGTTTTAAAAGGCCTTCCCCATTCTGAGACTATAAATAAACTTACTCATATTTTCTTCTAAAACCTTATGGTTTCATTTGTTTACCTTTACATCTTCTAACTCTCTGGAATTCGTTTGTTGCAGGAAATGGAGGTAAAGATGCATTTAGTTCCCTCTAAACGGTTGGTCAGTTCTGCCAACAAAATATATAACAGCGCATTCCCATAATACAATTATAATCTTTTCTCCCTGTTCAAAATGCCACCTTCCTTGTAAACTAAATTCCTTTAAGTGTTTGGGTCTATTTCTGTTTTATTGATGTATCTCTCTATGAATGTCTTTAATTTCTGAGGCTTTATTCATATTAGTGTCAATAATTCATGTTTGTATTAACATTTCCAAGTTAACAGTCCCCTCAACACTCTGTCTCTCTCTCACACACACATACACACATACATCTTTTTTTCAAATTGGGGTCACAATGAATTTGTAGATTAATTGGATCTTCCTATTCAAGAATACTGCAATCTAGAGTGATAAGAAAAACAAAAGTTGTGTTTTTTCATTCCACAAAAAAGGACTTTGTTTTTCTGACTTGCTGCCTAGGCATTTTACAGCATGACAACCCTGCTCACGTAGGACCTACGTTTAGGATGCCCGCCATAAATTCCTGCTTTGTTTTTCCAGCGCCTTTTAAAATAACCACTTAGAGTTAAGCCTGGGAAAGGTTAGTGACCTCCACCCCAACCATCTTCTAAGTAATAGGTACTTGCTACCCTGCTCTCTATCTCCTGCTTGTTCTTGACCTGGGAATGAAGGCTGCCCTTTCCCTGGCTCATTGCACCCCCTCGGTTCCTGGGGTTTGTAGTAAGTCTTGTGACTCTGCTTCCCTTGTGGGGGTATATTGAAACTGTGCCTTCAATCAAAAAGACCCCACGGGTTTCACTTCCCCAAAGCAGGAGCTTGGATGCTAAGGCAACTACCTAGCGACCTCTGTAGGTGGCTTGTGCCCGGCCATTCAGCAGGTCATAATCTGCATACTCTTAATTCAATACACCAGCTCTGGCTTCTCAACACACTAAACTTTTACTCAAATCTAATTTTATGTCACTCAGTAGAGTTTTCATGGTTTTGTTCAAACAGGTCCTATGAATTTCTTGTTGTATATGTCTAGATTTTTTATCATTTGGCTACAATTTTCAATGAAATGATTTCTTCCATTTTATTTGCTAATTGGATGTATAGGAAAGTAGTTTATTTTGTATATCAATGTCATAATCAGCCACCATAATTGTGATTTCTTATTGTTTTTAAGATTTTCTTTTGCCTCCTTCTTTTTAATAATTTCCGTTATTTCTTTCTCTTAGCCAACTGCATTTGAGAACAGTGTTAAAAATAGTGATTCAGGTGGCATAGCTATCTTGTTCCTGACGATCTTGGGATGGTTTAATGTCTTAGCATTTAACTTGCATGAACACGTGTATTTTCCTTGTCATAATAAAAAAGTATTTGTGTGTTCTCAAACTATTATGGCTTTCTGGGGAAACTGTAGATGTTAGATTTTTGTCACAGCATTCTCAGTATCCATGGAGATAATCAGAAGGTTTTCGCCTTTGCTCTATTAGTATGTTGTATTATATTAATAGATTCCTTAAGACCAAACCACTATATGTTCCTGAGATGATCCCTACTTATGATTTTTGCTATCAATATACATAATTAAGATTAATCATCCTGCAGCTTGCTTTTGTATGCTAAACAAAGAAACAAACAAAAAGAAACAAAATCTCTATATTCTGCAACCATTTACTTGGTTTTAGAATCATCTTCTACTTAAATGTAAAAGTATTCACCTGTGGTTGGTCTGAGCATCCACTGGTATGTTTCTGGATTTCTTCCAATGGACGGCTTAGGTTCTCCAGCACTTCTGCAGTTAATTTTAGTTACTTTTTTTTTTAGAAAATTAATTTCAATCAATTTTTCAGCGTATTTGCGTGGTTTTGCAATATAGGCACTTAGCATTTTTTAATTGCCTCCGTATTTGTAGTTATTTCTCTGTTTTTCATTTTTAAATTTTGTGCATTTCTTCTGTTTTTATTGATTTGGCTTGCCAAGAATTTTATTTTTTTATATTTTCAGATACTGAACTCTTAGATTTATTCATCAGTTTGGGGAACTGGCTGCAACCTGTTGCCCTTGGGCTGACTCAACCCTTCCTGGGACAGCAGGCAAGCTATGCTGTGGGAGCCACAGCTGGGAGGAGCCGCCTTCCCAGTGAGGTCCCGGGCCAGGACTGAAGCTTCACCTGGCAGTGGGAGCCAGAGGGTTAAACCAGGCTAGGCAGCACAGATGTGTCACATGTGGCCAGTCATTCCACTCATGTGACCACAGTTAGATGGAGAACAGACCGACTCAAAGCTTTAACCAGAAGCTGTCTTGAGGCTCAGGCCTCTGGAAGTAACCCTTTCTCACTTAATTTAATGTTCTCTCATTACTTCATTCTTTGTGGCCCAAACCCTCCCCAATCCTC